GGGGTTTCCCTATCCTCCGTGGGGAATTTGACTTAAAAAAATCCTCTTTATGGGGTTTAAAAAAAAAAGTCCCCTATCGGCCAAGACCCTATGGGGGGAATGGGGAGGAAAACCCTATGGGGCCCCCACCCCATGGAGCAGCCTAATTCTTTCGAAAGTATTAAAAAAATGATTTAAAAGTTAATAGACCCGGGTCTAAGGATCATTCTTAAATTAAGTAGTTCACTTTTGCCGTCGTTAAAAAGCTCGTATTTATTAAAATCCGAGTTATTTAAAAAGCTCGAATCTTCTTCTTCTTTTTCTTCGTCGTCGTTAAAAGGAAAAAGGATTTAATCGCAGCGATAAAATCGTTTAAAGCGATTAGCTGCAAAAGTGCTTTTAAGCTTAATCTTATCGGTTTTTTAAAATTTATAATATCTTTTATCGTAAGCTTTAAAAACGATATAAAGTCTTAACTACTTATAATCTAGCTTAATATCCGCGGATATATCGATGCTGCGTTTAACGTCGTAAAAAAGTACTAAATCTTTTTCTTTAATAAGTTCCGACTTTAAGACTTTAATTCGTTCTTAAATAGCTTTAGCCGCAAGTCGATAGCGTTTCTTTTTTAAAATAATTTCGTCGATATCTTCGTTCCGAAGTTCTAATTATCTAAACTTTATAGCAAGTAAGTCAGCGCGAGATCAAACTTTTTGCTATAATAATAACTTCTAAACTAGCTATCGTAATTTTAAAAGTAGCTTAGCTTTTCGTCCGTAGTTCAAAAAGAAAAAAGTAATTTTAATAAGTGCGTATATCGATATCCGAACCGCAAAAAGCATTTTATTAAATTTACGAACTTAATTTTTAAATCTTTTATTTATAACCTTCGATAAGCTATTTAAAATATCTTTATGTTTTTTTTTAATTATTCTATTAGCTTTTGAATTATAGCTTAAGATTTAAATCCTTTTAATCCCGTACTTAATAGCGAAAGCTTTAGCAACTGCTTTATTTTCGGATTTCTTATCGATAATTAGTCTTTCGAATAGTCCGTAACGGCAAACGATATCTTTTTAAAAGAACTTAGCAATAAATTCGGCGTTAGCTAATCGAAGTGATCGCTTTTCTAGCTATTTAAATAGATCTTCTTTAATTAATACGAAGCAAGTCATCTTTTTATCGGTAGTAAGTATTCGTAACACGTTTAAGCTAACTTTTAATTATATTTAAGTAAGCTAAATCGAATATAAAGAGTTTTCTATTCGTTTAGCTTTGCGTTTTTAATAAAGCTTATAACTTTAAACGAAAGCTTTATAATCTTCGTAACATTTATTTTAAAAGAAGAGTTTTAACGTACGGTAATAAGTTGATTTAGCTTTTTTATATCCGGATTCTCGATAAGCGTCGGAAATAGCCGTATAGCGTTTTTAAATTTCGTCGATAACTAGCTTAATCGAATAAGAATTGTCCGCTCGCTTATAAAAGTAATTATTTTTAACTAAGTAATTAAGCGTTTTATTCTTAAACTTTTAAAAGTCGTAAGTCTTGATCGAAAAAAAGCGTTTAAAAATAATAAAGAATTAAATAATAAGCTTAAAGTCGAGCGAGTAATCGTACTTTAAAACTCTTTTTTTAACTCGTAAACTATAATTTACAAATCGTTTAACCGAAAATATTAAAACAATGCTTAACTCGTTAATAACTTAATCGTTAATATCTTTTTTCTCTCTTTTTTTAATATTTAAAAGATGCTTTTTTCTTTTTTTAAAAAGATCGTTTACTATTGTGTTTTTAATCTTAAAGATATACTTAATTTTAAAGTTTATCAATCTTATTTACGCAATTTAATTCGTAACGAAAGCTTTAAGCAAATCGCTCGCTAATCCGTTAAGTTAATTAATTGATACTTTAATATCGGTTTTTAAAATAAAGTGAACCTCGTATAGTTCGCTTTTCATTTTTTTTATAGCTTTTAAAGCATTACGGCATTTTCGCTTAATCGCGTCGTACTTGCTTTTAATAAAGTTTTAAAAATCACTTTCGAACTTAGCAAAATATCGCTTTTTATTAAAGTCTTTTTACTGCAATACTACTTTTTATCTTTTAAGATTAGCGTTTACTATTAAATAGATTTTCTTTTTTTCTTTGCTATAATCGATCTTAATAAAAGCGAAAGCAAAAAGCAAAGCTTTTTTAAGCAGCTTTATCGCTTTTTATTAAAGTTTTAACTATTCGAATTCGATTCTTTTTTTTATTATCGCGTAAATTAAAACAGCAATTATAAAAAAGTTTTTAATTTAGATTTTATAATAAACTACGATCTTAATAAAAGCTTAAGCTTCCGATATATTTTCGCACTTAATCTATTTTAATATCTTTTTAATTTTAACGGTTTAAAAATAGCGTCTTTCGTTATCCGTAACGAATCTAACGATATTAAAGCTAAGCATATAATATTAAGACTTTATTTCGATAATCGTTTTAGCTTTTTCAAACTTTATTAGCACTTTATCGATGTTTTAAATATGTTTTAAAACGAATCGTCGTATTTCGAGCAAAACTTCTTTATAATTGTAAAAAGATCGTGATATTTTAACTTTTACGTCATTTATATAAAGCAAGCAAACGTTAAAAATGCAATCTATAAAGATCTTATAAATAACTTTAACGAATTAAACGATCGAATTAATAGCTTTTATAAGTATCCGAATTATTCGAAGCAGTTCGATAAGCGTTTAAATAGCTGTTATATCTTTAGACTCGACGTCGAAGAAGAATTAATCGTATTTAAAAAAGAAATTTAAAAATATAACTATCGTAAAACTAGCAAATTCGTTCGAAAACTAGTTTACGTTAAAAGTAATATTAGCGTTTTTAATCGTAATACGGTTTATCTTAATTATAATAATAATCAGCTTATATTTTCTTTTCTTTTCCTTTATTATAATAAACTATTTATTTTAATAAAAGCTTTAGCATGATTCGAAGACCTTTTGCTTTAATAGCTCTTTTAATATAATAATAATCATTTCTTATAAAGCTTTTAATACCGTAAACGTTTTTTTTTATTAAGCTTCGTAAAGCATTGTTTTAATCTTTTCAAGTAGCATAACTTCTTTCCGGACTTAATTAAAATAAGTAAAATCTTAAGCTATCGCTTCTTTTCGATTTAAAAAGCATTAATAAAGCAGTTCTTTTTTTTTCGAAATAACTTAAAAGCTAATCGTAAGTGCTTCGAATCGTTTTTTCGTTAATCTTAATTCGACTTTTAAGTTTAAAAACTTATTAATAAAGTATTTCGAAAAAGGTCTTTTAAGTTTAAAAGATCTCGCTTTTTTATCTTGCTTAAACTAATCGTCGATCCTTTTAAGTATCTTTTTATGCGACACTTTTAAATCTATCGGTTTAACTTTTTTTGCTTTCCTTTTATATATCGTATTAACTTCTATTATATTCTTTTTTAAAAAGTCTTTATCGTTATCGATAATAAACATAAAATTTTTCGATTTATCGAGTTTAATTGCAAATATTTTTAATGTTTTTGATTTTAATAAGCTTTGCTTAATATTAAGTTAAATTGTTTTTTTATAATTTTATTGTTTTTATGCCGATTTATTCGTAAATTATAATTCACGAGCGGAATTTCTTTTTAAGCTTTCTTTTAGCTTAGCATCTATTTTAACTTGCATGCTAGCTATTAACTTTTTGAGTTTTCGATTAAATTCGACTTGTCTTTTGCAATAGTAATTTATTTTTATATGGATCGATTATAGTTTTAAAAAGAGGCTTTTATCGTATTATTATTAAAGTAAAAAAAAAAGTTAAAATTCTAAGAAAAAAAGCATGCTTAAGATAACTTCGTAATTATTATTATTAATAATAAAGAAATCAACGTAATTAATGATTCCGCCGATAATAACCTCGACGTCGTTTATTTACTTATCGAAGTTTTAAAGATCTTCGAATACGATAATATAAACTAAAGCTCGATCCGTTATAATAAGTAGTTTAGTTATTTCAGCTACTTTTTTATTTATTATATTAACTTCGGATTCATTATCGAAAAAAGATTTGCTTTTAATTATACCGTCGATATTAATAAAAACTTTTAAAGTCTTTATCGCTACTTCGAAGCAATTGTAAGCGATAAGTTGTTTGCGAATTTGCGTCGTTAAGAACTCTAGCTTGCTTTTTTTATTCCGACTTAAACGTTTAATAATTAAAGCGTTTATAAGAATAAGCTTATCTTAAAAGACTTTTACGTTTTCTTTAGCATCGAGAACTATTAAAATATAATAGCTTAATAGTTTGTCGAAGCAAAAGCTAAGTCCGAATAAGTCTTTAATCTAGACTTCGATTCTCGATTTTATAATCGCCGCTATTGCTTTTTCTTAAGCTT